ATCTGCCTGTTCTGCTCTCCACTCTGTCTCTGGTGAAGCCTCTCACTGCCCCTGAGCCTCTGGCTTGTATCCCAGTTCTGCATGCACAAATAAATAAATCTTTAAAAAAAAAAAAAGATTTCTTTATTTATGAATACAAGAACTGGGTACAGGCCAGAGGTGCAGTAGGTGTGAGAGGATTCACCAGAGACAGAGTGGGGATCAGAACAGGAAGATTGACTGAAATACTCTGCTGAGGGGAGCAGTGGGTGAGACAGGAGAGGTCTGCTGTGCCATGTGGGTCAGCTGCCTGGCCTAGGATTGAACTAGTGCTGCAGTGGCTGCAGGTAGCTTCAAAGTGCTATGTTTGCGCCACCAGGGAGGGCCCGGAAACAGATTTTTCAAAGTTATTTTGAAATTTCAGCCTATCCCACTTAAAGTTCACGTTAGTCCTATGAGGACTCAGGATCTCTCGGCCCTCCCTGGTGGCCCAAGGGGTTAAAATGCAGCCCTGTGAAGCTAGCCAGAGCAGCTTCTGCTTCAGCTTGAGTTTGATCCCCAACCAGGGAGGTGACCCACATGGCACAGCAGACTTCTCCTGTCTCACCTGCTGCTCTCTTCAGCAGTGTATTTCAGCCTATCTACCTGTTCTGCTCACCACTCTGGTGAATCCTCTCACCCTCTGCACCTCTGGCCTGTATCCCAGTTCTGTATACATAAATAAATAAATCTAAAAAAAAAAAAAGGAATCAGGGTCTCGAGTTCAAAGGTAAAGATGCTATATTCAAAGAATTAAGTAACTGGCCCAAAGGCCAAGATTCTTTCTAGAACCCACGTAACCTGACAATAAAGGAGATATGAACAAAGAAGTCATTTCAGAGAAAGAGGATGGTGTGAAGGCATAAAAAATCCAAGAAATTTTTAAGGGAAAAGGCAAAGAGTAACAACCTACACACTAACCCTTATCTCACCAAAGACATCCCTGGAGTTCAGGATTCAATTATTAGAAACAAGCTTTTCCTGAGTAAATGCTGGCTACACTGAAGAGGAATGACTGAGACTTGTCATTTATTGCATGACTTATTTGCAAAACAACTCACGACAACATTCCTGCAATCAGGATATTTACAGTCAAATGGGGAAATCAGATAATAAGCAAGTGATATATATCAAGCAGCTTCAAATTAACGCTTATGGAAAACGATCCGTCTCTCAGAGAATGTAATAAATGAATCCACCTGGCAGGAAACAATAGTTTCTTCATTTGGAGTTGGATGGGTGAAGAAGTGGGTGGTGGGTATGAGAGTTACAGGGAGGGAAGGGTAGCCATCCTTCAAGCTGTGACAGTGACACTGAAGACTTGCAGCTTAGTTTGAGAGTAACAGAGAAAGGGAAGGCAGGTGCACAGCTGGGAGTAGTTGTTTGGGGCAGTGGAATTCTGACTTAGTTCCATCACGGGCAGAAATCCAAAGGAACCCTTGATGCTGGAAAGATTTAAAGCAGTATAAACAATATTATAATCAGAAGAATTACAAGGAGTACAAGTGGAGGGCGTTTGCCTTGGCAAAAAGTTGCCATCAGGCGCCCTCCCTGGTGGCACAATGGGTTAGGACACAGCACTGCAAGCTGGCCTGCTTCAGTGCCAGTTCGATGCCTAGCCAGGGAGCTGACCCACCGTGGCCCAGCAGACCTCTCCTGACCCGCCCACTGCTCCCCCCTCAGCAGTGTACTTCATCCATTTGCCTGTTCTGCTCCCCACTCTGTCTCTGGTAAAGTCTCTCGAAGCCCCTGCACCTCTGGCCTGTACCCCAGTTCTGTATGAAGAAATAAATAAATCTTAAAAAAAAAAAAAAGTTGCTATCGATTCTGAGAAAAAAGGGAGGAGAGGGTGGGTGTGATTTTACAGGCCCGCAGAAAGTTTAAGGGAACGTTTTGCTTGGCTCTGTAGTAAGTTAACAACTTGGAGGCCTGGAGGGCGTGGGTGGTCACCGGCTTCCAGAGAGTTGGGCAAGTCTGGCAGTGCGGCTGGAGCAACTGTGAAAGCACTCAGCAGGGCACGCACGCGTGGG